TTTTTGTTCAGTTATTCTCTGTATATCCTACTTTTATTGTCACAGTTGTTATATTGAAACAAAGGGGGGATATCCATGTTACTGAAATAAGACATTTCGGGTTTATGCTCATAGCTTTTGTATTGCAGCGCATAGCTTGGATAATTGATCCGATAGTTTACACGATAAGAATTAGAGAATTTAGACAAAATTTGCTCTGTTGTTAACATATTGACATTAATTTGTTGTTTGCCTATAACTGATTTTGTTTAACTTTTGTTTATCTGAAGATCTTTTTATCATTTAACTATATATATAAATGGTATATCTAATAGTATCAAATATTTTATGTTTTCGTGCAAATAAAAATGCAATAGGCCGATATATTTAATTATGCCTATTAAGTAGAACATTTCCGATGAGTTATAAATATTACATCTTGACCGATATTTCATTCCCTAATATCTTGTTTATGCTTGATCCGCACAACATAAGTTCCTAGAAACTAATATTTGTCCGCAAGCAGCGAGGGATTCACAAGATTAACATAACGTCCTTACTGCATCTAATAGAGAAATTTGACGAAGAATCATTTATTAACTGAAATATTTGGTACTATATAATACACGGGTAATTCCAATAATATCAAAGGATATTGTCCCTCGCAGTATATCATATTTCGCTCGCAAGATCAAGCTCGTGCAATATGATATACTGCTTGTGATAATATTTCTTAACATAATTGCAATAACCCTATAATATAAACAGCTCAAAGAGTAGCAAAAGAAACTATGTAGGTCATTGACGCTATAAGGAGTTAGATCTTACTTTTACTTGAAATTAATCATTTTGATGTTCTGGAGATTGAGACTGTTGCCCATCAAAGACAAAAGGGAAAGAAAATTGAAGAAACGAATGACACCAAATGTTCTCCAACAATGAACACAAGCCAGTACAGAATTGTTTGCAACAAAATACTTTCACTAAATGTGAATTCATTCAAGGCATCAATTCAAACAAATAAAATACGCCTTTTTAAAGTCGTAAAGATAAAAAACAATACAACATACATGTATAATAATAATAAGCTTGATAAATACATTAAAATAATGAAATTATTTATGTATTGATGTTATAATATTTTTGTAAATGACTAACAATATTCAGTTGATCTACCTGAAGATTCCCTGATCTTCTGGTGTTAATGAAATAGAGAACTGCATTGAGATAGCTGTCTCAGTAGAGTTATTCTTAACAGCGTGTCCAGTATTGCTGTTGAGTAAAAAAAAATAAGCTTGCACAAACCTTTTGAGCCGACGTCAAATATATATCGTTCCTGTATCTGTCATTTATTTCGAGACGTTGGGCATACTCTAGAGCATCCTATATTGCTGCCTTGGCTTCTGATGAACACAAAAGTTTGAAGAACTTAGTTATATTATCAGTTATAGTAATGATGCTACTTACCATAGAACATTTCAGGAACGTTTGACCCTTGTAGGCTTTGTAGTAAAAATAAAGACTTCTGTTTGTGGTTAACACTTTTACTTTCTTTTCTGTTTGTTGGCAGAAGAGTTTTCGAAATGGTAGCACCTATTTTATGGCATTTCTGGTAAAATTTGATATCACCTATTCAAAGTTTGCAGCAAATATAAGAATAAGAAGATGTGGAATGATTGCCAATCAGACAACTCTTCACCAGAGACCAACTCACATAGAAGTTTTAACAATTATAGGTCACCGTACAGCCTTCAATAATGAGCAAAACCCATACCGCATAGCAAGCTTTAAAAGGTCCAGAAATGACAAATGTAAAACAATTCAAAAGAGAAAAGGCCTGATTAATGTACAGAACAATAAACGAAAACAGATAATGCAACAGTAAATATAATATATTGCAGCAAACGACAACCACTGAAGTTTATCCTGCTACTCAAGCATGAATCGTAGGTTGAATTAACTCCATTGTTGCTGAACAAATTTGTTTTAGTTCTAAACAGCAAATTATACTATTGAAATGTCAACTTTTACAAGAGGATTTAACTTACAAATTTAACCCAAAACAGGTGGTACAGCTATGGTCCAGTGGCAAATATTATATGCATAAATGGAAAACAAATGTTGATTTGATCAAAATATGAATGAATCTTGCTTTGTACTAAATACACACAATTCGGATACTTAACGTGCTATTTCACAAGGTAACAGTCCAGAGGAACGCATGAGACTCATGGTGACATTATTTCGATTACGAGCTGACCTGTCTTAGTCTTGCTCTTTCATGTCGTGGTTTAGCGGATAAGGAACAAATACCAATTTTCAAGTCTTTCTTTTGTCCAGGACGTGGATCGAAACCTACTATCCCCTGCACTTGCAACGAGTTCACTACCAAAAGTACACCGAGGCAGTTTATTATTTAATACTAAGCTTTATCTGTAACATATCTTTCGGTATTCAATGAATCTGGGATCAATTAACTATCTGGTCAACCTTGTTAAATTGTTATATGATTTCATTATGTTCCAGGTTCATTCTGCGTTTCGTTTTTTATTACCGACCTCAGCTAGAAACAACACGCCGAAGTCTTTTCTCCTATATCTCAAATATTGATTGATCAATTGTTGTTTGCTTAACGTCCAGTGGAAAATAAGTCATGCATGTCCATGAACAAATTAAAAATTAAACAAAAGTAGGTTCTGTCATGGGGTCAATCCAGATAAAAGGTGAAAAATTGGAATGCGGCTGGAAAATGAGGCTTTGTTGGAAATGGGCATGTAGCATTGCAACAAGCGACCTAATGAGTTGTTACAAGGGTTCTTAACTTGCAGAGAGCATGACACTCCCTCTACACGATGCGTCGTATTTAACATCCCAATTCTGACTGGATGTGGCTGCGAATTTATATGTCACTCATAGCCAAATGAACGCCCTACTTTATTAAGCATTTTACTCCCGGTCGGAAGAAGATCAACGGATGGCCATATTGCTATATCCAGTCATTCATTGGGGTTGCGAGACAAAATACCTTTGGTGAAAAAAATCACATACTGAACTAATATATGATATTTTTACGTCTATCTTCCGAAAAAAGGGTCTTCTTGTTAGAAATTTCTGTTCATTGAAAGCATCCAAGGTTTTGATTAGTAAAATGCAGATATGAAGACGATCAGATGAAAAATGAAAGTGCTATCCCAGTGAATCAAAGATCTTCAATCATAATCAAATTTAAAAAAAACAAAAACAAAAAACAAGAATATATAACTTAAACCTAAAGACGACTGAATAGTTTCTGACTTAAAATGGCACATGAACAATGTATCAAAACTGATTTTGGTTTGGTTATTCTCTAGTTTAATCAAATAAAAACAACTAATACATAATTATGTAATAGCACGTACAGTTGATAAATTGCTTATATAACATAAAATTTCAAATTAAACAATAACAATGAAATAAATTAAAGTTAAAGATAAGAAAGGATTAGGTTTAAAATTACCTTGATATATAATGACTACGAATTCTGGTACCAAATAACTATTTTTCAGGACTCAGGGACATATCTGATTGAACATTTTTTTTGGATTTTGTTTATGTTGTACAACCAATTTTAGGCTAATTTTAAATGCATTTTCATTTTGGAAACATTAATTACTTACTTACATTGATTTTTGAGATCATATATCTTTCCTTTGAGCATCTTTAGATCATAAATTTGTCTTGGTAAAAAACATTGCCAAAACATTTCAGAAAGGCCACATAAATGTGTAAAAATATTTTTGCATTAAATTCAGAAATTTTTCAGTTTAAGAACAAAAAAAAATATATTGAATGCTATGAATCAGAAAGTTTTATTTACAAAATATGTTGGACCACTTTAACTGCAAACTATATATTCAAAAATTCATGTCATGATTTTATAAAACCCTTACATAATGAACACTGCATTGTTAAATATATTTTTGTTAAGAAATTTCCTAGATTATTATACTACAACATATACTAATGTTAGTATATAGCTATAATAATAATTATGTAATAGTTATAGCATTATTATCTGTTTTCAAATATTCACTAAAATAGAAAAGGGATTAATTTTAAATTTACTCTCTTTTGGTGCACTGCAGAACATATTTGAATTTACTCATTTTAAATCAAATCTTTGACGTTCACGTTAATACAGCAACAGTATTAGTACCACTGTGAACGCATCATATTCAGCTGATTGTCAAATGTCATGCATTTAGGAGTCATCTTAAAACCTACAGTAAGTCATTAATGTTCATTATAAAAACTCATTAAACATACCAGGTTTATAATCTGTGTGCCATTTCTACAACAGACTCATCAGCAGTGCTTTATCAAAACAGTTTGAAAGCCAATTAAATCATTGATTTGATTTTTTGATTTTTTGTGTTTTTAACGCCACTTTTAAGCACCGCTTTTGGGCTATTTCATGGCGGCCAGATTTTATTGGTGGAGGAAGCCGTAGTGCCCGCAGAAAACCACCAACCTTCGATAGGAAAACTGACAATCCTAGTCAATTAAGATTGGAGTCGAGTGCACCTGCACGAGCGGGGTTCCAAACTCACAACCTCAGTGTTGACTGGCTAGTGATTACAGTAGTAACTACTTAGACTACTTGGCCACCGAGGCTCCCCCCCAATTAAATCGTGAAGTTGAAGATATTAAAAACCTAAAATTCCAAAAAGTTGTGTCAAGTCTAGCTAAGTCAATCCTTGCTAGGAGCAAGATAAAAATAAAAGCAAGATTTTTTATCATTTAAAAAAGTAACTATTACAGAACCAATAAAAATTTATCCAAGAAAAAATAGAAATTAGCAGTTATGAATATAAAGCAAATGTTCATACAAGATAGCACATATCATTCTTTAAGCACCAATAAAATGAGGTTATTTCAAATATACATTTGAAATACATTTCATATTGAAAAATAATGATTGACCTTTATTTGAAAGCAATACCTTCTATAAATACTTGAAGGTATTCAAAACAAACAATGAAAAAAGTATTTGATGGTATTTATTATGTTGAATTGTATCTGTATGACCTATTTGAACTCGCAATAATTTAAAACATCAACTTTTACTGGGTATATATGTAATTTTGATCACTTGTATGTACTGTATACATAACACACATTTGTTTACAACAACATGTTTAATTTCAAACCAAAAATAGTAAAACATCAATACTTTTCCAAATTCTACATTATTGACGTTTGTGAAAAAAAATTAGTTAACAGTAATGAAAAGACATAAGAATCAGCATTTCTTTCAGGGTTTTGTCTGCAATATGGCAAAATAGAAACCAGAAAAGTAAAAAAATTGGAAAACAAGACCGAGATGAACCTCAATTGTAAATAGATATAAAAAGAATAAAAAAGATACCATAATATCATGTCAAAATAATGCAGCAAAAGATGGAAATCAAATAAAATGACAACAATATAATCTGACTAGTGAAAGAATATATCAATTATAATAAAATGCTCCGCTGGGCGCAGCTTGATACGACCGCAGAGGTCGAACCCTGAACAGTTGGGGCAAGTATGGACACAACATTCAAGCTTGATACAGCTCTGAATTTGGATTGTGATTAAATATTTGACACAGCATAGGTTTCTGACACAGAATGAATGTGGTCAAAGAACTTAAAAAAATTTAATTTACCTATTATAGTCCAATATCCAAAATCTAAATACATACACGGTTAGATTCAGCATATCAAAGAACACCAAGAATTAAATTTTTGTTAAAAATCAAACTAAGTTTAATTTTGGACCCTTTGGACCTTAATGTAGACCAATTTGAAAACAGGACCAAAAATTAAGAATCTAAATACACGGTTAAATTCAGCATATCAAAGAACCCCAATATTTCAATTTTGATGAAATCAAACCATATCATTATTATTTGCTTTTATATATAAATAAAAAATAACCAACTTAAAATGGAAAATTTTAAAGAAAAAAAAAAGGAAAAAAGGAAAAAAAAAAACCCTCCCAATTTTTTTAACCCCCTTATGATTCATCACCCCCAAACTCAATCCCAGCCTTCCCTTTGTGGCATGGTACCTTGCAGTACAAATTCAGAGAGATCCATACACTTGAACACAAGTTATTGTCTGGAAACTAGAAAAATGCTTATTTTTAGCCCCTTTTTGGCCCCTTTTTCCTAAACGTTTTGGGCAATTACCCCCAAACTCAAACCCAGCTTTCCCTTTGTGATATGGAACCTTGTAGTACAATTTCAGAAAGATCCATACACTTACACACAAGTTATTGTCATGAAACTAGAAAAATGCTTGTTTTTTGCCCCTTTTTTGGCCCCTAATTCCTAAAATTTTGAGGCAATTAGCCCCAAAATCAATCCCAACATTCCCTTTGTGATATGGAACCTTGTGGTACAATGTCAGAGAGATCCATACACTAACACACAAGTTATTGTCTGGAAGTTACAAAAATGCTTATTTTTTGCCCCTTTTTGGCCCTTAATTCCTTAACTGTTGGTACCATAACTCCCAAAATCAATCCCAACCTTCCTTTTGTAGTATTGAACCTTATGGTAAAATTTCATAGAGATCTATTCACTTAAACTTAAGTTATTGTGCGAAAACCAATGTGTCTTCGGACGACGACGACGCCGGACATCGGCGACGATGACGACACCAACGTCATACCAATATATGACCGCAAAAATTTTTTGCGGTCGTATAAAAACTATGCATGCATAAATACAAATATTATATCATAAACAATATTAACAACAAAGATAATGTGAAAATCAATCAGTTATACTACAAGAACAACTGTAAAAAAAAACGAGCATTCCTGAGATAGTTAAGACATTTTTCAAAGAAATCCGTGTATTTATAAAAATGTCTTCTGGTTCCAAAATCTCCTTCTCACAGGAGAATTGATAAATAAAAAGCGTAAGAGGGTATTATCTTCACAGTGAGTTTCATTTGTTTTTTTCCATTTTATGTTTTGATTTCTGTAAATGAAACTGCAATGTCTGATGGAGACTGAGATCACTTGCCAATTTTTGAAGGTGATAAAAACTGTATCAATTACCAGAAGATTTTGCCATTTATCCCGTAACAAAATTTTAATGAATTTTCAAATAAATTTGCCCAGTTTTCTGATCATTGTTCACATGGTAAAAATGTAAAAATGGTTCAGGCAATACCAAACAGTTCTTTATGAGGATAACAATTGCATAATTTCCTCAAAATTTGGTTGAAGATCATATTGTATCATCTCCCAAACGTTTGGTGGCATTTGGCCCATCAAAATACTTTCAGAAGAATTAATCCCAAAGAAAGATTTTGTTCTGTAATGGCATTTTGTTTATATTGGTTGAAAATTTTGGCCCAAATTTGACACTATACCCCCATTGGTTCATCCATTTCCTGATTTCAGGGGAAAAAAACATTAAAAAGAAGACAGCAATAGAAGACATACAACAGATACCAATGGATGTCAATTGATCATATGCTTCTTTTAGAGAGGTAAGCTAAAATAAGAAACAAATATATGTTTTGACATCATAAATACACCCAGTATACTAAGAACAACGAACAAAAAAAACACAATCTTTCAGATTATTTCAGTTTTGGACATGAATTCTCGTTCAGGCAATTTAAAAACAGAATATTTAAATTGAATAAAATATATAGTATGAAGTGTTTAATCAAAACAAAGTATGTCACAAGAGTAGGCACTTTAAAATTGCTACTGTAAGTGGTTTGTTCAAAACATCTCAGTATGAATATAAACACAAATTTTTAAATATATAACTCTGTTTGACAAGAGCTTAATCCCTTTTTTTCATATTTTTAAACAAAACAACAATTTTTAAAAAATTCAAAATATCATGTAAAAACATTGAAAATTTGCAAAAAAAAAGACTTAAAAATAAGCTATTTTCAATCTAAATTTATTACTTGAATTGCATTTGAATCATTTTATTTTCATAAAACATTACCAATGAAACTGAAATTGAACATTGAGAAAACAGTTTTCCTTTTTTATGGCTTAAAGGAGTTCATATTATTAAACTAGACAAAGATGATGCCACCGTTGGCTTTAGTAACAGTGTTATTGAAGGACACATTTGATACCCTCGCAATAATTAAAATTTAATCCATTTTGTGGGAGAATTTATGAATATTTGTTGTTCATTTCTAAATTGATTACTACATTTTAGCAAATTTTACAAGACTATAAAATGTGAATGTAAATTACAAAAATGACATTTCAACAACCCATCATTGGTGGAAAATATTAAGAAAATTAAAATTCTTATAAAATACACACCTTTAGTATATGTTCTATCATCCTACATAGCATAAAGGTTTTGACATAAAAAAGTGTTGGAGGAGATGATGCCCCACTTGCATATAATATTATAAAGGGACATAACTAGAGAACTGTAAAGTATATTTTGAGAAAACATAAAACTCTGAGATATTGGATTCATATAGTTACTAATAAACCTCTTATTGTTTACAAAGTTTATAAATTGTTTGTATATGAAGATGCAACTAATACTAAATAATTAATTGGATGTCTAACGTAAAAAATAATTTTATTATCTTGGAATTAACAATGTCTGGATTACATAAGATCCTGGTACAATATCAATTGATTGCTTTAAAACATATTAAAGATTGATTGATTGGTGTTTAACACCACTTTCAGCACTATTGGCTATTTCGAGGTGATCCGTTTTCATTGGTTGAGGAAGATGGAGTCCCCGGAGAGAACCACCAACCATTGTCAGGAAAACTAACAAAGCTAGTCAATAGAGATTAGAGTCAAAGGCACCTGCCAAGTGCAGGGTTTGAACTCACAATCTGTGTTGACAGGCTAGTGATACAGTAGTTGGACTACTTAAACCACTCAGCTACCGAGGCCCCTATATTTGTAACTATTACAAAGTTGCACAATAGTGTTACAAGAATGTATTTAACTATATTTATAGACAATATAAATTAGTATTTGGTATTATATTATTAATTATTTAGATTTGAATTGTAATGTGTTACTGTAAACTAAATTTGGAAGTGGCACACTTAAATCAAATATTAAAGCTATTCATTAACAAAATACACAAAGAGATAATAGATTTTTAATATGTTGCAATATGAGTGCTTTAGAGGACGAATAACACTTTGTTTTAACTTGTCCAGCATACAGATCTGTTATTGAAACAGTAATGTTCAAGGCCAAATCAGTACAAGTAAGATAACTTATTCAAATTTTAATGTAAATCTCTTACTGTCAAACTATGCAATTATTTAAAAGCAGCTTGGAAAATTGGATCACAAATATTGTTATAATATAAGTTTATGTATGTCTGTTTGATTGTCATGGTTTTCATTATATGCTTCTTGCAAATTAAATATTTATTAAAATCTAATTGTTTCATTTTAAACTTGAACTAGAAATTCACTTACACAAAACAGAAATAAGTAAAATCCCAATTTAGCAATTAGAAAATAATTAGTATTAGGGCTATTCCATTAAAATGTATGTGGGAGTGTAGGAAGGGTCTTTCAAAATATCCCTACAACCAAGAACCATTTTTTAGATAATTTTGCATAATGGTAATAGACGCATTCTGAAAAAAGAGCCATGACCCACATTCAATAATTAAACTTCCCTTCCTACCCCCCACATACATTTTAATGGAATAGCCCTTATTAAAATGCTAATGAATATCATCTGACAACAACCAGTTTCACTAACAACAACAACTGTCTAATTGTTAATCATCAAATTATTATAACATCTAAACATAAATTTATTATAACAACTAAATATCAAATTATTAAAAGAACTATAACTTTTATAGCAAAATTATGCATTCATAGTACTTAATTGCACATCTAGTCGGCATGCATGTTGATTACTTGTAATGTATAATTTTATATGTAACATTTAACATTTGTTAGTAACATTTTACATGTAGTATTTGTTAGTAACATTTTACATCTAGTATTTGTAAGCATCATTTTATATGTAACATTTGTATGCAACATTTTATATGTAACATCTTATATGTAACATTTTATATGTAACATCTTATATGTAACATTTTAAGCCAAAAAGAGATATTCACCTTGTACAATGTTGTACCTGTTAGACTTGTGAAAAATTGTTTCATAGGACATTCAAAATAAATGTTCTCTTTTTGCTGCATTCTTTTTGAAAACTCAAAATAATATTCAGGTAATGATTCTGGAATTCTTTTTTTTTTAAAGAGAGGGTTGATTTATATATACTATATTCCTTGTATTTTGCAGTTCAGTTATAATTTGCAAAAGTTTTGAAGTAGATAATTTTTTATTCATTATCCACTGTTCACGGAAAAAAATTAACATATAAAATGTCTAAGAGTTTCCATTCATTTTAATTTCTGAAAATTATAGAGTTATCTCCCTTCATTCTTTATTAACAAGGCATTCTACAGAATTAATACATGATTGTCAAAACATAATTACAAAATATATATATCTATATAAAATAATACCCAACTCTTTAAATTACAGGAGTTAATATTTCAAAGAGTCTCTTTAAATGTTCAGCAGAAGACAAATTACATTGTTTGGCCTTTAATCTTATAACAACTAGTATATGAATATTCATGGTATTCAATTTTTAATACAAGTTGAAGTGTCCCTGTTTCATTGGAGCAATTTTGTTAAAAGTTATCTCCAATTTGTTATAATGTTTCTATATAGTTTATACAGCAAATTTTAACATTTTTTCTTTGAAAATATCCAAGTTTGTAATACTTGAAATTCAAGTGTAATTTACTATTACCTTTTGATAAGATTTAAAAATAACTATTATCTTAATATATCTAAAATGTCATGGGTAATACATAACAAAGAAGAATAACTCTTACATAAGTAGGAGACAACTCACATTTAGTCAAAAATGGGATTAAATATTTTTCTTAAACAATCACAACGATGACATTCAAACTTTATAACAAGTTCACAGTAAGATATACATTTACATATACCGGTATAACTTTATCTTATCACTAAATTGATGTATGCAGGTTACATTATATATGAGTTCGGACCTTTGATTTTCATGAGAAGTTGTAGTATGGATATGCAGGTGCATATGACATTTGACCTTTTGTATGTTCATTGTCCCCTTCTTCATGCATGTCTGACTTTCCAAAAACACATTCTGCATAAGATGGTGGAGCTAAAAAATATATAAAACAATAGTTTAGCATAAAATGAAGATTATGCAGCTTCATCCAGAGTGATACAATATCATTTAAGGAATATAATTATATTTTAATGCAAAAATAAGAATAGAAGAGTTAAATTGAGCTTTTTAGTTGTTTTGATTTGAAAATTTAATACTATGCATTGTTGAAATATTGTCTTGGAGAGCACATGTAGTCAACATAGTGAGACTAAACATCATTTAAAAACAACTTCATGATTAATGTTTGTCTATTGAAATGATGGATTGTGATTATTAGGAAATATATCTTAGATTCTATAAAAAAATAAAACGAAAAGAATTCTGCAGAACCCTGTGTCTTTCCTATGACTGCTGCTGTCAGTACAGAGGTGTTATGTTGACTGCCAAAATATCAATCAATTTATCAGTAACAAGAGCCTGTCAGAGTGACAGAAAACCGGATTTCCTGCGGAGATCGAACCCTGAACAGTTGAGCAAATATGGACACTACATTTAAGCTTAAAACAGCTCTGAATTTGGATTGTGAATGAATGTTTGACACAGCATAGGTTTGTGACACAAAATGAATGCGGTCAAAGAAAATTTTGAAATTGGACATTTACCTATTATATTCCAATATCCAAAATCTAAGTTCATTGTTAGAATCAGCATATCAAAGAACCCCAAGAATTCAATTTTTGATGAAATTAAACAAAATTTTAATTTAGGACCCTTTGGACCTCAATGTGGTATTATCTCATTAATAATGAAAATAATTACAGGTTTTGATTCAGCATTTCAAAGAACCATATTTATATTCAATTTATGTTGAAATCAAACACAGTATAATTATGGACCCCAATTTGGACCAACTTGAAAATTGGGGCCAAAATCAGAAATCTAAATACATGTTTATTAATAGACAAAATAAGCTTAGATTTTAAAGGAGTTTGCTTCATAAAAGTAAATATATATATATATATATATATATATAGCATTCAGAAAACAAGTTTATACAGAATAACAAACAAACCTACCACAAAATTCTTTAAACAATTTATCAAAGAAAAGAAGAAAAAAATCCAAAATGTCATTTATCATTAATACAATATCTATCAAAAATCTATAAAACTTATCTGTAATTATCTTCAAAATGTCTAATGATGAACAGTAAATTTCAAACTTTATTTATACAGCCCTACAGATCTTATCAGGAAACAGAAAGTTTTCAAATAAATCTGCCACTCCAATTATAATCATATGATAAGATATTTACCATTCATATTTATGCTTTGTTATCTGAATACAGGTGAAAATTATTTAAAAACACTTAGTGTAATCAAACTTTATATATATAATTAATAGTTCCCAATATTTTTCTTTCATTTGTTACAAATTAATATAGATCTGCAACTTATCTATCAATATCAACAATTCTATCTGCACAATGTAATGTAATGAAATATATCCTTTAATAAAAATAGATTATTATCTAATGAAAATGATATTTGCAAATCAAAATTTCTGTTCAAAGGGAAATAACTCAATCATACATATAATAGTATAACTTACTAACTAAAAGGTTGAAAGCTCAACAACGAGAAAAGCTAAAATCGTAAAAATTGAACTTGACCTTCATTTAGTCACAGGAAACAACATATCTAAATTTGAAAAAATTTCGTCAAAGCCTTTGCATGTTAATGAACAGACACTGTGTGGCAGCCACCCGCCATACATCCCCAAATCAATAACTGATTTTTTCCTTCGAAAATCCGGTTAAAAATGGAAAATAGAAAAAAAAGAATTTGCTAAATTTTCCTCTGGATATTGTCTTTTGATCATAAGAAAAGCTTCTGTCCAAGTTCCATGAAATGTCTTGAAGGTTTGACCAAATTTTCAATGTCTTAAAAAAAAAGTTTAACAACAGACTGAACCTAAATTTTGATGCTGCTGGTGTGCCAACAGAATGTTGTATAGCTAAATCTCGCTTCAAATACAAAAATGTTGCAAACTTGACTAAAAATGGGAAATAGGAACATCTATCAGTAATGTGATGCTCTACGAAAAAGATTGCCATACAGTCTTTCCTAAAAATAAAATAATACTTACCTAATTCTGGTGCTGATGGAAATGCTCCTGGACCTTGACCTACTACATTAATATTTATGTCATGTGGTGCAATAGCTGGCTGAGGTTGCATTATACTTTGAAATGAACTTCTTAATGGTATTGATCCAATGATGATATCAACGGGAACTACTAAACGTTTTGACACACTAGATGGGTTGACGTGTAACTGAAATAAAAAGTAATATCATGAAAATTAACTGTACGAAAGAAAAGAACACTCATAAACAATTTTTTGGTGAGTGTTTCAAGACTTTATGTTTTCATGAATAGCCTAAAGATGGAAGCTTGCTGAATGTCAAATTGAGTTTCAAATTATGGCTCTGTTAGAGACATAGCAAAATATTCATATGCTAAAAGATTATGGTATATCCTCTCTAATTTTCACTCAAAAGGTAAAATTGAGATAGTAGCTTTTTATTCATTAATTTATAAAAGTAGCTTTTTATTCATTAATTTATAAAAGATAAACAATGTTGGCTTCAAATTTTGTCTGTCCTATGAGTTCATCTATTAAACACAATAGTAAAGATTGTGGAAAAAGAGAATATGTTTAAGTCGTTACAATGAACATGACAATGTTAATATGAATTGAAATCATATTTGCTGACCATCTTCTCATTCCATGGTTTAAACGTTTAATTTGTTTTTGTTGTAGTTTTTGCCATTCCTGGTACAAATCTTGAGATAAATCATCAATTGAGCATATCTGGGATATAATTAGTTGTAGTGTATACGAGAGAGTACCGTTAGTTTGATGAATTATCTCAAGCTTTGTATAAAAATTGGCAAAACTACAAAAATGTGTACGTTGCTGAACATTTCAATTTGTGGTGTACCTGTACCCATCAAAACCATAAAAGTTGGTTTTTCACAAATAATAATGATTCATGCACAGTAATGAGCTAACTACCTCTAAATGATATCTTATGTCTATGATGGTACATCCAGCCAGAAAAGATGGTGCAACAGGAGGAATAACTATCCTTTTGCCTGATAAGCTTTGTGTTTCACCAGGGTTGGACTGGTCTAAAACTAGTTTTGTCACCTCCTGGGGAACTGACTTTGTTTTTGATGTCGCATGGAACAGCATGTGCTAAAAAGATATGAAATAATCAAAGTTGCATAAAAATGGTCTTCAGAAATATGATTCAGAATCATAATTTTGCATATTTTATATTTCTGTGCTTTTAATCTAAAGCCACAAAGCATGTTGACTTAAATAGGTCATTTGACATACAAGCTAATTTGACTTGCTTGTACTGATTACTATGAAAGTTATAAGTAAAGATAATCTACAAAAAGAGGCTCCTAGGAGCCTGAACCACTCACATGGTAATACATGCCATGATCAAAAACAAATTTTAAATATGTGACTTTTTGAATGTGTTTAACTAAATACAAGGCCAAAAACTTATTGAATTTATCTTCTTCAGAACCATGAACACATAATATATTCACCTTAAAATCAGAATATTAAAAGTCAATTACAAAATATTATCAAGTCCTCTTCAAGTTCATAAAAATCATGAAAGGAGATGGTATGATAAGGTCACTAGTTACCAGATTAAGCTTGACTTCTACAGAACATGCTGTATCTGACAAATTCTGTATTTCACCCTGAAGGTAGATAGCTTCCCCTGGAACATATCCAGATTTGTCTACTCGTATAACACCAGTTATTGGTCCCGATTCACAACATAAACAACATAGAGTCTTTGCTACCTGATTCTGCATTGGTCTCTACAATTATAGAAATTTTATATATAAGAATGATGTGACTAGAATTCTAACGTGGGGGTACCCAAATTGCACCTATTTTGACAGTTTTTTCACCTACGTTTTTTTTATGATCCAGACAAAAGTTTCCATTTTGTGTTTATTTTGTAGATGTATCCTTATTTACTATATAGTCCCACCAATTTAATTTTTAATCCATATATTGAATCCTAGAAAAATGGGTTTGAACTGACCTCCAAACGACCCATGATTCTGTAATGAGGAGTACCCAAATTGCATCCATGCTTAAATTCACTTCCGTAAAAATCTAATAACTGATGTTTTATATTATTTCTTCAAATATTTAGAACAATTTGACAATAGTCCATGCTTATTATTCATTTTTTAAGAAATGGATGCCTGTAACATATTGTTTTTGCTCATTTTTAAAAGATGACTTTTTATGGACGTCGCATGGCGACGTTTTCGTAGATTTTACTTTTTCCAGTAAACACTTCATCTGTTGATATATACTGTGAACGTTCTGTGAATATTTAAATATATTTACCTATTTGAAAGACGTGCATAATGTCAAATGATAAAAAAACATAAATTGGTTAGTCCCTAAGAAAACTTGTAAGAAATTTCGCTGCTATTTTTGCTAACTAGGTGCAATTTGGGTACTCGGTGCAATTTGGGTAAATGACGTTAGCTTGATTTGCTGAAATGAAACTTAGTTCTGGTTGATCAAATTTGTTTATTTGTTAGCTACTATATATAATGTTATCTCATCTACCTTTTACATGTAGGGTTGTTGATTAAACTTCTTGGTTTGTTTCCCAACAGAAACTGCATCAAATACTCGATACCTTTATTTTATTTAATTATGCCAATAAGAAAATGAACTTTTAAGAAAATTAATCATGTTTTGCTACTGTAAATTCAGAAATTATTGCAATGTTTTTATTATTGCGAAAAATGCGACAGGGTTATAATCGCAATAATTTAAACTTGCACTTTGAAATTTTTTATATGAATTAAACACGATTTTTCTCAATATAGCAAAAATTAAAATCGCATTTTAGTCTAAAATGACAAAATCGCAATAATAAATGCACGCAATAATTTCTGAATTTAATTCAGTTATGTAAACTATTCAGACTAAAAATACTGTGGATTCAACATTATTATTTGTATTGCACCAATCTTAATGAATGGCATTGGTATAGGTGAACCATGAATTGTATTGATCAGTGAAATACAGTTTCTTAAAAGCTTATGTGCTGACTATGTCGAAACCACGAAATTAAGAATCCATAAAAATGCAACTTTGTCTCAATTCACAAAATTTAGTACCCTCGAAAATAAATGAATCAATAGTATTTAAAAGATATATAAAAGTGTTACCGGAGCTTCTGGAATGGCATTCAAATCTAGCAGAGAAACAACTGTAAATGGCAGTTTAGTGTGGTGATCGAATTTCCAAGGCTTGTCAATGGTGGCCTTTAACAAGTATCTGACCTGTCCATACATGTGTTCAAAGGAAGATGGTAAGGTGGGTGGCAGCATAAACTGGAAAGGAAAGTTATGTTGTCCACTGGGCAGCTTGTCACCATGTCCTAAAGCTAACATAGAAATATAACCTATGAATAACATTCTGTGCAAAAAATAATAAAAATCACAAATTTCTTTATAAAAGACTTGGTGTATAGCCAGAAATCTTTAAAATTATTTGTTTTGATGTCCAAAAAAATGAAATACATTCCGTTTATAAATTCAGAGGTAGAAATGTTTGTAGCAGGACTGAATATGCTGAAAATGTTTAATGAAATACTGTTCCATACAAGATATTCTTTAATATTCCTAAACTTAAACAAAACATCTAATCTTAATTTATATTTAAAATAACACTTTAAACATTTCTCAAGCAAATGTAAATGTTTTAATCCCATAACATATTTCATTAAAATAAGCTTAACATTGATGTTGGGCATGGCCATGATTCAAGCTCTATGAAATCCATATTTCTTATCATCTGTTCAATCACGTGATTGTATTTTGCTGGTAAAATTTATACAAAAATATAACCTTATATGTGCCAAAAAATATAGCCTTGCATGTGCCATAAAAATATAGCCTTACATTTGCCATAAAAATATAGCCTTGCATGTGCCATAAAAATATAGCCTTGCATGTGCCATAAAAATATAGCCTTACATGTGCCATAAAATATAGCCTTGCATGTGCCATAAAGACATAGCCCTACATGTGCCATAAAATATAGCCTTACATGTGCCATAAAGACATAGCCTTACATGTGCCATAAAATATAGCCTTACATGTGCCATACAAGGCAATGGTAATATCAAAGTATGTTTCATGAGCACTGTATGTATCTGTTTCTGTTCTTCTATCATCCCCTGTCCCTGTCTCGCGTGTCTCAGTCCAATGAACATTAGCATAGCCTTGATATCTCAGACGAATTTCTGAAATAATGCAAATATTCAAAGACTTTCAAAACTAAGGTCGAAACATAAAACTTTGCATCACAGAATCTATTTCAATATAAAAATAACCACCCCTCTCACCTCATTCCTCTAAACCTATTTTCAAACCCATCAATAATTTACTGTAAAATTTGAATTTGATCATAATCAGAATCAATAAAAAATATACCATTATCATATACAGTGCTCGAGAAACTACCTTGTTTCAGATCAATAATTGTAATAACTATGAAATATCAAATTTGACACCAAAGTCATTCATTATTCAATACCATTGTGTACATGATAATGTATTTTCTTTTTTTAATTCAATACAATTTATTTCAAATACTTAATTACAATTACTTTAGTATCCCAGGAGAGCATACTTAGGGTCCCTAATACATGATCATGTATTAATTTTCCCAATAAATAAATATTAGAACTTGCTGAAAGTTTTGCTTAATTTTGTTTAAATTTGTGTTTTGTTTCTAGCTGAATTCCATCCAATGTTTGGTCATATACATATAAAATGTGCATTTCAACAAGATTTAGTCTTTTTTTCATGTTTGTTTCCGACAGGAATAACAATGAAGGATAGAAAATACAGGAAGCTTGATACTAAACTTCATGAATCTCTGATCTCCTGGGAAAAATGTGATTAAAATTTTATGGAATGGACAGAGGTAAAACAATACAGCCCCTCCCTTGGAGTGGGGGTATAAAAATATGTGTATTATACGAGTAAAAAAGTTTTCTAGATATGAATAAAAGTAGGATGGATTATAATACAATGAGACAGACACCCAATTCCATAAAAAAAAACACAAACATTTGGAGTCCATTAACGTTTTTGACCTTTTTTCTCTATTCTTAATTCATATTGACCATTATTTTCTATTCTTTAATTATTTAAACTATTTTTCTCTATTCTTTATTTATATTGACAATTTTTCTCTATTCTTTATCTATTCTGACCATTATTTTTCTCTATTCTTTATTTATATTGATTATTATTCTCTATTCTTTATTTATTTTGACCATTATTCTCTATTCTTTATTTTGACCATTATTCTCTATTATTAATTTTTTTTCGCCTATTTTCTCTATTCTAATTTTTTTGGCACCTATTTTCTCTTTTCTTTATTTTTTTACCTTTTATTCTGCACTTTTTGTCCTTTAAGCTATATTCTGTAAACTCCATCCAGACCCTCATATATGACTAATCATAAGACAACCACTGAAGAGGTTCCTGGGTTAGGACAAGGTATATGAATGTAAAGTTGTGGAGGGGTTCAACTTATTTTTTGAGATTTCAATCCTCCCCCTTTTGAGGGACATTTAGTCATTACACTTACAATTACCTCATGTGTTATGGCATTTGTGAATTAATGTATTGTTTGTTCACTCATTGAATATTTTTCTTTATTTAGATTCTTGAATTTATTATTCGACAGAATATCCTAAATAAAAACTATACAAATATTATACAAAAATATATTGATATGGACTGATAGTGATCATGGGGTTTGCTGTGGCCCCTTAGTACATTTTCAATTCTTCAATTAGTATTTACCTCTGATTTTGTTGATTTTTTTAATCAAAGATGTACCTAACGGAAGCTATAAATTTTTGGGGCTATTTAGAGAGATCTTTCATCTACTGTGGAATCATTATTATTCATGGGATACTGATTTTCGTTGATTTCGTGGGTTCAGGTGAAACATGAGTTTCAATGTTCAATGAAGTCCAAATTTTTTATAGGCTTGTATAGAGACTATGGTAAAAACACGAAATCAAATATCCACAAAAACGCATGTTTTTCTTTAACCACGAAATTTGGTACCCATGAAAAATTAATACCAGGTATACATAAAGGTCAACAAAATAAACAAGGCCTTTTTCAACTGATTTTTGTAGTTTGTTTTTGTGTTGTGCTGTTACATCACTGTCCCAGGTTATGGGGAGGGTTGAGTGCTCACAAACATGTTTAACCCCGCCACATTCTTTATGTGCCTGTCACATGTCAGGAGCCTGTAGTTCAGTGGTTGTCGTTGGTTCATGTCATACTTGTTTTTCGTTAATTGTTTTGTTATAAATTAGGCCGTTAATTTTCTCAATTGAATTGTTTCATATTTTTGATGTTGGGGCCTTTTTATCGCCGACTGTATGGTATGGGTTTTTCTCATTGTTGAAGGCCATATGGTTGCCTATAATTGATTACATCCTATTTGTTTGAACTATGGTGGATAGTTGTCTCATGGGCAATCATACCTAATCTCCTTATTTTTATAAGGCTACTATTTTATCAACACTTATTCTTCTTACACTGTCCGTATACAGCGACAGTTATATCAAAGTAGGTTTCCCGAGCACTGTAATGTACAGTTCTGGTATGACGATTCTTTCCTGACCCTGATGAGTGTCTCTCTGTCCAATGAACATTGCCATATCCTTCAAATTTTAGTCGAACTTCTGTAAGAAAATATGAACAAAAAAAGTTGAATGAAAGTTGTACACATTGATAGGAGAAAAATAAATTTATGGGTCAAATGACAGGAAAACATCAATGAATTTCATATTTAACAAAAGTACACACACTGAAATATCTTGCCTGCTTAACTTAGTATGAATTAACATAAGCTGAAAGTCTATAATATGAAGGTTATACTACAAGTATCACAAAAACTTAACATTGTCCACATGCAAATGAGGTCAAGGTCTGATGAACTCTGCCAGACAGACATGTACACCTTACAATCATAACTTACATCAAATATAGTTAGCCTATTGCTCATATCATCTGAGAAACAGACCTTATTTCAAAACTGGACTAACCATGGCCAATGAACCATAAAAATGAGGTCAAAGACAGATGAACCCTGACAGACATGTACACCATGCAATCAATCCATACACCAAATATAGTTGATCTGTTGCTTATAATATCTGAAAAAAACAGACATAACCATGAAAATAACTCACTGACAAATGAACCATAAAAATGAGGTCAAGAGCAGATGACAGATGAACACGCAAGACAGACAAGTACACCTTACAAGCATTTTATAGTATACACCAAATATAGTTGACCTATAGTGGCCCTATTGCTTATAGTATCTGACATGTCTGAGAAATAGACCAAACAACAAAACTTTAACATTGTCCAATGAACCATGAAAAAGGTCAAGGTCAGATGAAACCTGCCAGACAGACATGTTCACCTTACAACAAATATAGCTGCTTTATTGCTTATAGTATCTGAGAAACAGACCTAACCACAAAAACTAAACACTGTCCAATGAATCAAGGTCAATTGACACCTGCCAGTCTGACATGTACAGCTTACAATTACTCCATACATCAAATATAATTGACCTATTTATGGTAACTGAGATCATAGGGACTTGACCACAAAAAATTTAACATTGGTCACTGATCCATGAAATTAGGTAAGGTTAGGTGAACCCTGTCTGAAGGACATGTAGACCTTGCAAGGATCCCATATACTAATTATTGTTATCCTATGACAAAAAAACATACATTTTTTTCAAGCAGTCGCTGAATCATTAAAATGAGGTCAAGGACAATGGACGTATGACAGACGGAAACTTCATAACATAAGGCATCTGCATATGAGGTATGAAGCATCCAGGTCTTCTACCTTCTGAAATATAAAGCTTTATACAAATAGTTTATGTTGTTGCCCGCAGCAGATAGTAACCACTATGTCTCACATTTCTGCAACAGGTGAGACAAAAATTAGTTGTTTTTTTTTCTGTATATTTCACCACGTAATAGTGTTGTAGAAATTGTATTATGATGTACTACAGTCTTTATGTCTATTACTACATTTAATGAAATAAAATATTGGTGTAAGAAACAAATTAAATGGTGAGAATCAACATAACCATCAAGACTGATTGCACACGTGTAAATATAACATGTACCTATACCTATATATATATGTAAACATTAAATATGTAATATTAAAGGATACTTTTATGTGAAATAGAACATTTAATCATTAAATAATCCAAACTTTCTTTTGATACTTTATGTGGGTTGACATTATAGACGGGCAGATTTGACACTTATCCAATCCATCACAAGAGCGTTTGGCAGATCATGATTATTTTGTCTTATCTTAAACCTAAGGTAACATAGATGTTGATTTTTTAATATTAATAAATCAGGATATTTTTTAATATTAGAAATCATTTATTAATATTGATAAATCCCATTGAATATTTAATATTATTACATGATTTTTTAATATTAAAAATTCATTTTCTAATATTAGAAATTCATTTTCTAATATTAGAAATTCATTTATTAATATTAAAAAATGACATGAACATGATAATGATAGGAATTCTAAATATTAAAAATTCGATTTATTAATATTAATAAATAGGGAATAAATTCCACAACGGCTTGCCATAATTTTGACCACACATAAGTTATTACATTTAAGTACATGTAGACGTGTCACTGTGATGTGATCCATCTGTTACCACACTGGGAAATCATTTTCTTCCTGATTTTTCATGCGACTGTTTGCCTTGAAAAGTTTACAATTTAACTAAAGCTAGTGGTCCTATAAGTTCAATATTGTTAAACAAGTAAAACATGTCATGCATGTGGAAAGAATTGATTCTTGAAAGTGAAAGAAGTGATTTGGCCAAAGTGAAAGTAGGGAAGATAAGCCTTCAGCATTTCTTAAACGAAACTTCAACATGTTCAATGATGTTCACAGGGCTCTCAAGAGAGAAAGCAGCCATATATTTTGCTAGGACATGCATACATTGTATCTTATTAGAATAATAATGGTCTAAATGCTTTTGAATTTATTATAACCAGTGCAATTTTTTTATTCAATCTGACCAATGGCAAAAATAATATGATGCCACAGAAAAGCAATATATAATTTTAACGATTCTTTTCATTATTGTTTCCTTTCCTGCAAGTATATACAGGAAATGAACTGTATGTACATTTTTGTATGTTTGCTTAGTACTGAAATGTGATCAAAATTCCGAACTCTGTCGGTGACCAATACTTTTAATTCTATTTCGTACTCATAAAAATTAAACACTGATCCACAGCATTTTTTTCAATTGGCTACCCATCCACGGGAAAACTTTGCTTCAGAAATTGAAAAGTGAGCTCAGTTTTAGACAATGGGGTCATAGTATGCTAGTAAGTGAAATTCACATTATCATCATAAAATCATTAGGTGGAAAATATATAGATCTACAACTTGAAGGTGTTTCATGAACTTGACTACATAATGAGGGTTATCATAAAGGAGTCGAAATAAAAATATATTATATGTATTGCGAAATAATAACATTTTAAAAGTATTGCGAAATTACCATAATCATCAGTTATTTTAGAAGTAATGAAAACTTATATACCTCTCATTTTCATGTCTGCATTCAAATCAACATAGACCTGTCCGTTTACGGGTTGTCCTGGGTAAAATATTGCATTCTGATTTTGAAGCTGAATCATAAATGTATTGAGCTTGCCCATTTTTACTAGTTGTTTAGTTGACTCCTGATATCCTGATCAGTTTCCCAACCCAAAGTAAGGGAGGTAATCGGTAAATGAAAGTTAAAATCCAGATAACAACCGGTATGCTTATGAAGGCATTCCGGCAGTTTAGCAGACTACTATTTATTCGAAGTCAGGCGTAGTAACTGACAGCAACCTCAAAGTACTTTACCTACTAAAATACCATCAAGATAGCCTGCATTCTATATCAGCTGCTGTTCTTCATAGATGATTTCAAATATAGTAAGGGGAAAAAATGAGCGTTTAAAAACTGAAAAAGAATGATGCAGAAATAAACAAAAACAAAAAAAACCAATTTAGAATAGCTTCAAATGATGATTATTCAACAAAATACTAGACCCAGTAATTAAAAAAAGCATATATAAATACTTTAGTGTAAGACCTGTTGGTGACCTTCTGCTGTTGTCTGTTCTATGGTCGGGTTGTTGTCTCTTTGACACATTCCCCATTTCCATTCTCAATTTTATAACCTTCATCAATCAGTTTAATAAGCCACCGAAAGCGTCCTAAACCTTCACGTTTAATCAGCCAAAATAAATGTTTACGGAAGACTGTCAAATCCTAATTAATATTAATGAAGAATGATGCACAGCTGACTTAAGTTTCTTGGGAAACTATAAGATTTCTGGTGCAAAATATCAGAAATATATACGTAAAATAGTATCATCTTACTTTTTTCCCCCTGAAAATAACTTTTCAAGAACACCAGTTGAATATGATTATGTATAGTTTCCCCATGGAAATATTTTTGTTGTCTGTTTCCTATGGAAATTATCAATTTTCAGTGTAAAAAAGATTAATTTCTTTTTGGCTTTACCTTTTCATAAAAAAAAAATGCTTTATGAGACATTCCTTTTTGTATCACTTTCAAATCTAATTAATTGTTCGTGTAATCCTTTGAAATTAATCTTGTAAAGTAAACGGACGATTCCAATAAGTAATATTGCATTATGTTTAGAAATCTATATTATTTTTCTTACATTGTATATGGAAGAAAGTCGAACGTCTGTTGTTTCCCAAACAAAACATTATTCATTTTATCATCAACAAAAAAGTAGTTCACTTGTGCATATATTTTAAAGGTTTCTATCACTTATTTCCAGTTTGATATAACATACAATTTTTTTTGTATTCCCCTGATATGATGAATTATTCCGATAGAGTCAGCTGCATTTCAGTAGCAATGCTAAATCATGATTTGAACTTTTTGTAGTCTTACTTGAATAACAATCACATCATTCTTAATTGTTTTTTTTTTACCCAGATAATGTTATCTGCTATATTTGTCCTGGATAATTTTCTAATAACTCTTACCTCCCCCCGCCCCCAAGAAAAAGATGCTCTATCGTTTGTAGTTGTCATTAATGTAAAGGCTAAACAAAATTATGCTTTTGAATAAAGACATCTCATGATATAATGTCTCCGGGTGATCTTTTGTTTGTTTGTTCTCTGCGGAAACTAGTCAGGGTCAATGGATTAATATGTATTGTTTCCCAAGAAAAAAATTGATGTCTCCTTTCAAGGAAAATAATGCATGGATCATGGATGACAATTTAAACCCCTCCCCCTCCCCCCCAAAAAAGTTGATTTCTATGCATTTCCTATACATTGTATCTGGGGGAAAGTAGAATTTTGTTTTCCCAGAAATCCTCATTTTACAATTAAACAAGAAACTCTGATGTATACATCGCAATCAAAGAAAATTTCGGACCAATCATACCAATATTTCGGACCTTATTTCTATTTCAAAAAACAACGGCAGACATTATCTGTTAACAAAGCTCTGTTCATTACCGGTTAATAAGTTAAATAAAATTTTAGAGGATTGCAACACAATTTCATATAGCAGTCCTAAGTATGAAATCGTTCAAATTATAATGGCATATTGTTATTCTAAACTGTTTCCCAAAATTGATCGCCCTGAAGATCATAAAAAACAGTTTATTAAAATAAAGTATGTCAATAAAGGTTTTGATTTTGTAAATATTGCCGGTATTTTTAACGACCATTCTGTTAAAGAACAAATTCCGGGATATTTTGATAATACTGAGCTCCCTCTTATTTGTTATATTTACAAGAAATCTACCCGGAAATTTGTGTTTAATTATAGCCAATTGTGTAAAGATGTTAATATCAGTGAAAATACACCTACTTCATGTAATTGCAGTAATTCAGAATACATTTATGGACCCATTTCCCATGTTATAACAGGAGATCTTAACATCGTTCAAGACCGAGAGTTAAAATCATTCCTCAGTAAAGGACCTAAATATCGTCCCCCGTCAATTATTAATTGGAATGAGTGTCTTAATATCATCCACGACTCACTCCATACTTACTGTTTGAAATGGATAAAACGGGAAAAAGCTGACAAAAAATCTTTGGACTCCTTTTTTAATTCAGTAATGAACATAGTTGATATACGTATTCAACATTTTAAAGAACATTTTACTCTTAACAATAACCACAATAAACCTATTTCTCGTATCAAACATAAACTAAAAGAACTAGCCAAGGAATTTGTTTTTGTCCCGGCCGATAAAGCTGCTGATAATATTATTATTGTTTGACGTAAATTTTACATTGAGGTTCTGAAAAAAGAAATCACCAATTCACCAACATTCCAACTGACTCCATTTTCAGAAAACGACATCTGTAACAAACATAAACTTTTAGCTACCGCTTTACATGCAGAACCAAATATAATGAAAGTCCCAACTATGTATTGGCTTCCGAAGCTACACAAAACACCTTACAAATATAGATTCATTTCGTCTTCAAGCCATTGTTCCACTACTAAATTGTCTATTCTTCTTACCAGTACACTTGGTACAATCAAAAACCTGATAATAAATTGTTCAAATAAGGCCTTTGAAAATAGTGGAATTAATTACTTTTGGAGTGTCAAGAACTCGTTGGAAGTACTTGATAAATTACATGCATATATTGGTGATTTTGAATCTGTTCAAAGTTTTGATTTTTCTACCCTATATACCACATTGCCTCACATTCCCATTAAGAAAATATCACACACCTAATTAAATGGGCATTTAAAAAGTCAGAATGTGAATATATATGTTCAAACTCTTTTAGGTCATTTTTTAGTAGCAATAAACAAAAAAACTATGTCAATTGGACATGCTTTGATACTATATATGCCCTTGAATTTTTACTTGATAACATTTTTGTTCGCTTTGGAGATTCCGTATATCGTCAGGTTATCGGAATTCCAATGGGAACTAACTGTGCACCACTTATTGCGGACCTTTTTTTGTATTGCTATGAGTTACAATTTATGACAAAAATCAGCAAAGACCCATCGAAACAACATCTGATACATAATAATACTTTTAGATATTTGGATGATATTTTGGCTCTCAATAATGACGACTTCAGTATACTAAAGAAATTTATCATGTTGAACTTACTTTAAATAAAGTTAATACTAACAATGACCACCGCCCTTTCCTCGATCTTGATATCTATATCATTAACGGAAAGCTTAATACTAAAATATATGATAAAAGAGATGATTTTTCATTTCCTATCGTTAATTATCCATTTTTAGATGGTAACGTTCCCTTGTCACCATCTTACGGTGTTTATATATCTCAACTTGTACGATTCGCTCGTGTATGTAACAATATTTTAGATTTTAACGAGAGAAATTTATGTATTACTGAAAAATTATTACACCAGGGTTTTCGATATCACAAACTAGTCAAAACATTTACTAAATTTTATCATCGGTATAAGGACATCATTCGTAAATATAGCTCAACATGCAGACTTCTTATACGTTCAGGTATTTCACATCCAATTTTTTATGGAAATATTCTTTATAAAGCACAAAAATGTCAGTATTCACCTCTGAAGCTAACAAAACCTTTAAATAGACTTATTAAGAAGGGATATAGTTACGATACTGTTGTCAGGTCATTAAAGATTGCATATTTTGGCGTTAATATTGATTCACTTATAGGGTCTTTGCATCGGCACTAAACACATTTATTTAAAAACCAGTTGTTGGCATGACACGGGTTATGTTCTTCTCATATATGTTATGATGGTATGATACTAAACCCCTAACGGGAAGGATTGTGCCTGATATTCATATGATGAAGACATAATCTTTCAATCAGTTTAGTTGAAGTCTGGAGCTGGCATGTCAGTTAACTGCTAGTAGTCTGTTGTTATTTATGTATTATTGTCATTTTGTTTATTTTCTTTGGTTACATCTTCTGACATCAGACTCGGACTTCTCTTGAACTGAATTTTAATGTGCGTATTGTTATGCGTTTACTTTTCTACATTGGCTAGAGGTATAGGGGGAGGGTTGAGATCTCATAAACATGTTTAACCCCGCCGCATTTTTGCGCCTGTCCCAAGTCAGGAGCCTCTAGCCTTTGTTAGTCTTGTATTATTTTTAATTTTAGTTTCTTGTGTACAATTTGGAGTTTAGTATGGCGTTCATTATCACTGAACTAGTATATATATTTGTTTAGGGGCCAGCTGAAGGACGCCTCCGGGTGCGGGAATTTCTCGCTGCATTGAAGACCTGTTGGTGACCTTCTGCTGTTGTCTGTTCTATGGTCGGGTTGTTGTCTCTTTGACACATTCCCCATTTCCATTCTCAATTTTATTTTTCATTAATGTCTCGACAAAAGGAAATATCGTCTTCTCGCGGATCAGTTATGTAATATTCGTTTGTAATTATCCTCTCAAATGACATACTAAACCAGTGGCGTATAGTTGAGGTAAATAAGAAGTACTAAATCATATTGACAAATCTCTGCATCTTTCCTACATCATATATGAATAACGTTTGAAGTAAATTACAAACAAGAATATCCTTTGTTTAAAGAAACAGACAACAGTTCCTTGAAAAAACTACAATTTCGATTGTTATTCATGAATAATTTCCCTGAAAGTTTTCAACGGACGAAGAAATTGATGATGAACGATTGAAATAAATGCAGAAAACACATTAAAAGCTAACAAGTTGTTATTTGTTTTT